CCGCCATATGCCTGTGTTCAGAGTATGCCATATTATTGTAATCACTAGAAACTCTAGTAACATCTATAGGAGGCTAAGGGCATGTTTGATAAAAATTAATACTTAATTTACGAATATTTAATTCTGAATTAGAATTGTTAAAATCATTAAATAATTACAGAATAACAATAAGCTAATTTTTATAGCTTTTTTTTTTTGTAATTAACACCACTTAGTTCATTAAAAAGTTTAGTTTTTTTTTTTGAAATTAAATACGTTGAAATGAAAAAGTACTTAATCAAATGAAAGCACTACGTGGCATTATCAACAAAGCCCGAAATTTGGGTTTGAATTTTCTGGACGAAAAAAAATGGAACTTTGTTTAACAAGTAGAATTCTACCATTTTTTTTCTTGGTTGGGTACGTGTAAATTTTTTTTTTTAAAAAAAATTGAGTTAACCGGCACAAATTGCCTTTGAGAAAATTAAATATAGTGCAGGTTTCGTGAGAGCATAGATCGTGCAAGAGATTCAGTAAAGTGTGGTATTATCGTGAAAACTTCATGAAATGTTATACGGCTCTTTTAATATTTTACATGTTTGGAAAAACATATGGAAACTACTTAAACTCAAAAGGAAGAGGAAGTTACTTGTTTATACAGAATTTGACTTACAGAAAATACATAGAGTCGTGAATTAAAAGAAGTAATGATTTCTGCATTTGTCAGTAAAGAAAGAAAGGTGGCAACATATTTAAAAGGACTCTTTCACCAAAATAAAAATTAATAAAAAAAATGAAATGACGCAGAAGAAACTCTTAAAATCTTATGTAAAAACCATATTCAATGTAGCCAATCATTTGCGCCAATCTAAACCATATTCAATATAGCCAATCATTTGCGCCAACCTTATAGTACTGCTTTTATAGTACTGAGATGGTTTATTGAACTAGCTACTGTTTATCTTATTCTTGGAAAACTCATCATGTTGTTGAGTTGGAAAAAAAATTTGATTATATGAGCTTGCTTGATCAATTAGAATTCTTCATAAAGTTCCATATTATTGGTATGGATGCTACATCATGAAAAACGCAAAGAAAGTACTTTTAGCCTTCCTAATGTGCCAAAGCTGCAATCAAAGGTAAAACTAATTGAAATTGCCCATTATGTTCACTAGACTCACATGTGAGTTTCACTTATTGACAATATACTAGATTGTTGCAGTTGTTTTGCGATTTCGTTCATGTATTCTGCTTGTATTATTTGTAGGGGCATCGTTTGTAAGTAAATCGATCGAAGGAAATGATATAAATTACCTAGTTGTTCTCATGTAGTCTACATTCCAACAAAAAATCGATAAACTCCTGGAAGCCTCAGAAGATCCAGTTGGTCAAAATGAATAGCAAAAGTATTGTATTTGTAGGTTTTTTTTTAATAGACATTGATCGACATCCCTTTATGTACGGTGGACTATGTATGTTTGGATTGCAAAAAGAAATGGTTAATTATTTATTTGGAATATTTATATTTGCAAATTAGTTTTTATATTGAAAAATGGGTCAAAGTGTGTCTTGCCACATTGAAATGCCTTAATAAAAAGATCTATTATGACAGTTATATGGCCGAACAGTAGAAAATTAAGGGATAATTCATATTAAGGGCGCTTTACATTTTATAATTCCTATCAAGGGTCTTGACCTTTTGAAACTGTTGTTAAGGGCGCAAAAACATTATGATATTCTAAATACCATTTTTACGACAATTTACCCTGCTTTAAATATAGTTGTTATCTTCTTTCTCTGCCTTTTCTACCCAATCGCCGAATAAAAAATTCGGCAAACCTCATCTGTTTTCACGCCCTAATCCATACTCCAAACGGCAACCAACAACAATAACCATCTCTGATCGATTGCCGAAGCACCACAGTCAACAATGATTATCAAATTTATTTTCATTTTCTTGTGCAGAGATCTTCTTCTTTCCACTACCAAGGCAGCATAAAAGATCGAAACAGTATTTCTTGATTGTCTTCTATTAAAATTAATAAAGGCAAAACATGCTGCTGAATTTCTCACAGTTAAATAATCGAGAACTAGTTAATTTATCCCGTAGAATAAGATCGATGGGAAAAACTGGCTTGTAGAAAATGAAATGATAAAGATGAGACATATGAGTGCATTTTCCAATATGTATGCAGAGGCTTATGCAATCCATAGCTGAATAAGAATTCTTCGATCAAACTAGTCTTTTACATGTCGCGCATTGCGCGACTAGTGTTTCGGTTGAATTTTTTTACCATTTTTGTATTTGAGAATATTAAAGTTGATTTCAGTTACACGTTCCACAACAAACTTAATAGTTTCTGGAGAAAAGCGAAGCAAATATTTTTTATTTTTTTTCTGGAAAAAATATTATAATATTGTCCAAATATTTTTCTTTAAAAAATTGAATATTATAAATTAACCTAAGAAAATCGAAAGGAGATCACAACGGTAACAGTCTCCTTAATATAAGTAAATTGAATTAGAGAAGAAAGTAATATTTACTAACAATACAATTACATAATTAAATTACATTTTGGCCTAGGAAGTATAAAAAAGCTCATTAGAAAATGATATGTATAGTGCAAAAAACATAGGGAAAAAAGATAGTGGGTAATGTGGAGTATTCTTGGTCCCTAGATTTTTGTCACTTTCCCGTTACAATTTTAATTTTATCTTTAATTAATAAATACACATATTTAATGACAATGGTATATTTATCTTTTCATTAATTACTATTCCATTTCACTGTAACTTGTCCTTGTTTCTATCATTGCTCCTTCCCATTATTCATCGTTACATCACGTGAAGGAATGTACAACTACTGTATAACATTCAAGAGTAGGAAACAGTAACCCAAAAAAATAAAAATAAAAAACCCTATGGAAAATGAAGTTAAAGTCCAAATTAAAATAATTCATCCTCTTATCCTTATTATAAGATGTTTTGAATTATCCTATGTAGAGTATCCTTGGCCCCTAGTTTTTTGTCACTTTTCCCGTTAAAATTTTATTTTTATCCTTAATTAATAAATACACATATTTAGTGACAATGGTGTATTTAGTGACAATGGATAATCACTTATCCTTATTATAAGACGTTTTGAATTATCATAGGTTCCATTTAGTATATTATTTTTAATTAAAATAAAATCTTGAAAATATTTTGTAATAATTGAGAGAAAAATAAATACTTAAGTGATTCTGTACAATAAAAATGGTGGCAATAAAGTAGGCCAAGAGTTTTGGGAAATCATGGAGTATTACTGATCATGGTTACTGGCTGGGGAAAAATAGGGCTCTAAATTATGTATTACCCGACTTATTAAAAAATGGTGCTCTAATTCAACCACAAGGACTCTGAATTATATCCACAACCTTACCAACTGCTTCACATTGACAAAAGGAGTTCTAAACAATTAAAAAAAATTCTGACCGCCCTAAAGTTAAATAAACAGCCAAAGAAAATTGTCCTGGTTGAAAACAAAATAACAAAAGTTACTTAAAGTACTAACACAAAACCCAAAGAGAGAATTGCCAAAGTTATCTCCTCATCCCATATAGAATTAAATTGTAAGTAGCAATTTTTTTGCAATTTTCAGATTTAAAAGAATTGAAACTCAAAATTACCTTGGTATTTAATTATGATATTAAGGTAAAACATCGTTTTCCAGCATGCCTTAAGTAATTAATCAGCGCGACCAATGTTTTACAGAAACTTTTTAGTTCGTTCTTGTTTGAGGAGACTTGTTCCAGTCAATATATAATTAGATATTTATCTTGATGCCTAATATATAGTTGATAAGGAGACATAAATTATTATTTTTTATTTTTTTAATGTTAAGGAGTCAAATTCAATTGTCTGCATTTTAAATTATAAAAGAGAAAAGTAAGCTATTTATATAATTTGTTTGTAAGAATCTTTAATTTTTCATATGTAAAGAATCAAACATAATCGGAATGAATTAATTATTAATTTAATCAAATAACCATTAGTGCAAGGCTTCCTATAGTAGTAATATATTAAAGTCTTCAATTTTTATTATTATTATTATTGTTTTTTTGAGAAAATGCACCGGACAGTACAAGCTTGAAAACTGAGAGGAAATGACAAAATATTTTTTAGGCAATTTGAATTGTGGACATTTTGTACTCGAATCTGTAGAGCAAGATCTTACTCTTTTGGCTTAAGTTCAATTTTTCTTTGTTGAAATTGTAAAGTCATAAAACCCTTTTTGTTCAGTTTTTCTTTTTGTTCAGCTTTTTTATTGGCGAAACAGAAGATTATTGTTGAACATCATTTTTTATAATTTTTAAGGAATTAGAACCCCAAAACGACTGAATCCCAATGCTTTCATGCATGTTAACAACTGAATCAATAATTAATTTGCACAGCTCTTGTAGCAATAGCAAATGGCCTACTAACATCAGGCAAAGATTGTCTAATAATCATTGAGCTTAGACTTTTCACAGGGTATCCTTTAAACTCTTTGATTCTAGAGGGTCTCTCTCCAACTACCTAAAACTATAAAAAGAATGGAGTCCAGTAGGGAGAGAAGATGAAATTTTTGGTTTGAAGAAAGTTTGCTCAAATAAGTTTATAATTTACACCCAAGTCACTATTCATCACAAATACAGTCCATCACGAAGTTATTGGACATGTCTAAGGTTCATTCTAATTAGACAATTCAGCATATAATTCTTGTTCGATGTTAGAATATTTTATATCAGTTAACATGAGGCTTCAAGCTATGAAATCACCATGACTTTTATTTTGGTGAGAGAATTATTAATGCTAATCATATTGCAGTCAGATTGTAGAACTTTTACAGTTCCTCCTTATAACTCATAGCACGTACAATTTGTTCTTCAGTTAATGTGAATTACACATTAAGGTTCATTGCAATACAACTATTCACTGCATTGGTTGATTACTTGATGTTGTATGGCTTTAAGAAGTTCCCATTGACATGAAACTTGAGGCTATTTCATGGAGACATTGTTGTCTTGTCCATCAGATAATAATATAATACTGGAAACAGGATTCTTGTACCTGCGATCTTCCATCACCTTAGCGCCGTTGCGGAACCATTGAGCAATGTCAGTCTCTCCATCTGCTCTAGATGATTAACAACCTTAGCGCCATTGCGCAACCCTTGAGCAATGCCAGTCCCTCCGTCTGCTCTACACGATTAATAGCTTCTAATGCTTCCAGCCTTTCTGATTCAGACATCCTACAAAGGGGGAGTAGAAGCCAAAAATTGTGAGAGAAGGCGACGACGGAGAGCCTGCCATTGGGACCAAGGTTTGGTATCAGAAACCCCGTAGCCTTCTTTAACAATGCAATCTTGGTACCTTCCATGTTGTAACTTACATCAAGAACCGTAACAAGATAAATAGGTACGCGAGATGATAGGGAAACTTCTTCCATATTAAGCTGAAACAATATCCCCTAAATCTAGGAGAAGTTGCTACCTGTGAAGGAAATTTTATGACGATGTTGATGAAAGCCATATTCAACAGTGGACAAACAGGGATCATAACCGTTTATTATTACAAGGAGCTTGACATGTAATTTTGTTATGCCTGTAGTCTTTATCTTTTCATCTAGACGTATTCTTACTTGTCAAGTTAATAGATTCTGCAGTGATGCTACAGTCTGCGCAATACATGCTTTACAACCTCCCTTGGCCTGAAACTTTATAGCTTTCAATCTCATGACTCCTAAAACAAATGAGATGAACTTATTTCAATTTCAGCTTCTACGAGAAATAATTAGATACACCCTCAGTTTAAAAGAAAGAACAAAACCAATCAATTATGCACCATCGATTTGGAAGTTTGTGCACTTACAGTTCAATTAGTTTTGCTATACACATATAAGAACTTATGCAACAAAATATCAAAGCACATAATTCATTGAATATCAGAAATCAAACTTGAATAACGAAGCTCGCTCGAACCTGAATAAAAAAACAAAAACAAAAAATTGCTACTCAAAATTTATGCATAGATATTTTTTACCTAAATCACCTGAAGGTTTCAACTTTCAAGTAATTTAAAAGGTACGGTGCAAGGCCGATGCAGTAAATACTTTGCTAATTACTAATAGACGAGATACATGCGCTATTCAGCCAAATACCATCTCAATTTATGAAATCATACAAACACATTGGCTGGCGGTACACAAGGTTAAAGAATTAACACAGGGAAGAGAAACACATCACGGATAGACGTGGCAGATTAAAAGCAGATCTTTATCACATCATGTTGGGCAATGGCCATCGTGATAATCGACATAATGAAGCCCTCTAAATGTATGGAAATTTGCTCTAAATTCAAGCCATTAGTGTCACGTACCAATGTACTTTGCTATTAGAATAAGAAGGCCTCTCATTAACAACTTAAAAACTTATTGTAGATGTAAAGCTGGTCTGTCTAATTCAAGGGGGGAAAAACAAGGGAAAAAAGTTAAAAACTTGCAACTACAATGTAGTCAGTATCACCAAAGAGAGTCTGCATAAGTGACCAAATTCATCGGGAGAACAATCCATTAAGATACAAGAAAGCAAAGACGCAACCCAGAAAAATCGCAATAGCAACAGCTATAGTATTTTGGATCAATGGACTGAACCAAAATGATATCATTAATATCCAATTGTCTACTAATAATTTAAAAAAATACCAAATACCTATATTGGTACAAATAGCAAAAACGACTTACAACATAATCACAAGAATCAATTAGCACATGTGGTAAACCTTAGAACTTATGCCTTTCTTAAAGAGTTTGAAAAAACAACGCAATATCATATAAAACAAAACTTGTCAAAACAACGACAAATAGTCAATATAAAATCACTGTTGTACATACCAAGAAAAAAGGAACAAAAACAATGTGGAGAAGCGGCAAAGGGGAAAGTCGAAAATGTGGAGAACGGCGAGGTAATGAGGAATTTTGTTTATGTTAGAGAAGATCAGACTCAGGGACGGCGCCGTATATAGGGTTGAGGTTTTTTGGGAAAAAATCTCGCAGGAATGTTGGACGACGTCGTTTTTCATTTGGGGTTGTTTTACTCCTAAAGCTTGCGGGAATTTTTTAATTGGGATGGGTTGAATTTAGAAAATTCTGTTTTTAACCTTAATAAGTCGCTGACATCATATTAAGATCATCCGATGGACGAGATCGATTTGAAGGTGCCTCCTTGAATATTTCTTGGACATTATTGCTTACCTACTGTGCCTTTTATTTAAGTATAAGGATAAGAAGTGACTGATTAGTGACTTATTGCGATTCTCATCTTCATTGATTTTAAATGAGAGTGATTTTAGGTCCGTCGATTACAAGGAGGGTAAAATTGTCCTTTGATATTGTTACATCCCTAAGAGGAATTTCAGTAGTTCAACGCCCCTGTTTGGAATTTTAATTTCTACAGTGCCCTAAATGAGAATTTTCCGAAAAATTAATTATATGTAGTTAGATACAATGACACTATACAGTGAAAAGGTTATTACGTAAAAAATTAAATGGCAAAAAGTTAATAAATACTGAAAAATTTAATTAGATTTCATGGCATCAAATGGTAAAAGAGTATTACTCTCTGTCAAAACCCTAATCGTGATTTCGCCTCTCTCTCTCATCGGTGGCCAACATGGTCCACTGGACCCCCTCCATCTTTTGCTAGCTTTTTTTCAGCACCCAGTGGAACCGGAGCGGTTGAAAACCTCGGTCATCAAGCCTGTAAAATTTGTTGATGGAGCGCTAGTGCTTGAATTTAAAGACAACAAATTTGAACGGCTCGTTGGACCATATTGTCTGAGTTTGGTAGGGAAATTCTCCTACGGGAGGCCAAAGATAGAGGAAATTCACAAGGAATTTCACAAGATAGGGTTTCAGGGCGCCTACACGATTGGATTGACGAACCCTAGACACATCCTTATCCGATTTGATTGAGAAGAAGACTACCAGAAGTGTTGGATTCGGACCTTCTGGAACGTTGCTGGGTATTTGATGCATATTTTGAAGTGGACTCCAGGGTTTAAGTATGAAGAAGATCCAACAATAGTACCGATATGGGTATCTTTATATGATCTCCCGGTTGAATTTCTTAACCCAGAGGTTATATATTCGATGGTAACTGCTATCAGGAAACCGCTCAAAGTTGATGCACCAACTTTGAACATGACAAGGCCCTGTGCAGCAAGATTTTTCGTAGAAGCAGATCTAACGAATGAATTTCCAAAGCTGGTTCAAATCAAAAAGAAGGAAGGAAACATGAGCAATATTTTACTTATGAGCATATTCCGTCGTATTGCTCTAAGTGTAGCAAAATTGGGCATAAACGAGAAGAATGTAAAAAAGGTCTGGTTCTGCAGACTTTCCCTGTGGTTAAGCCCAATGATCGCGTGAAGGGATCTGAACCAGGGGGGGAAAGGGAAAGGCATAGTTTTAAAGCCACAAAAAGCTAAATGAAAGCCTCAGGTAGGAGTTACAATTAAGGAGCGGGCGGATAACATCGTCTCCACCTCGGGCCTAACTTCAATTGAGAAGTCATTGGTACCCATTGATGTGCAGAAGGAGGTCACAACGGAGAAGGATATTCCGGCTGCTACTGATAGCGGAGCTAATTGTAAGGATCAGGAAGAAACACAGCTCGTTGTTGAAACACAGCGTGCTGTCATGGTTTATAGTGGTGCTGCCCATGAACAAAAGTAGCGCGCTGTCTCGACTGATCGTGACGAAAGCTCTACGGCCCAGCAGCAAAAAAAAGCACACTATTTCATCATAGCGCGGTGTCACGGCTGTTAATGAAGCGGCCACGCAATCAAATAGATTTTCTGTTTTGGAAATTATTGAGGAATCTGAAGAAGTCGAAGAACTCTACTCTGAGGAAGTTTTGCTGAATCAGGGGAAGGAAGTGATCGCATTAAATGATAATCCATCAGTCGAGAAGGAGATGCAAAGTCTTTCAATTGATGCAATTGAGAAATTATTGATTTAGGATGATGCTCAGGTGGATTACCACCGAGAGGAGGATACAGATGATGAAGCGAATGCTGGAACCGGCCTGTGGTTGGAGGGGGAAATAGCTGATGCAATTGTTGAGCAGCCGGAGCAAGGTGAATTGATTGTGAAAGGTAAACAAGGAAGGAAAACAAAAGCTGAGCGATTGAAGCTGCAGGAGTCTCTGTGGCGATCTCCTCGGTTAAATGAAACCACATCGTCTTCCAATGTTTAGTCAAATAATTTGGAATATACAGGGCATAAAAAGTAAAGCCTTGCAAAGACAATGGAAAGTCTTGAAATGATTGCATAGAGTTTCTTTTTTGGTAATATTAGAGCCTATGTTGCCAATTCATAAAATTGATGAGATTCGTAGAGAGGTAGCCTTAAATAGAGGGTTTTCTTCTTGTACGAGTAAGATCTGGGTTTTTTGTCAGGATGATTACACAATATCAGTCTTGGAGGGCAATGAACAGGTCCTTCACATGGAGGTTCAAACCGGTTCTGTTTTGGACACTTTCTTTGTTTCAGCTGTTTACGCAAAATCAACAAGGCAGGCGCGACAATTGTTATGGTCGAACTTGGTGAGCTTTCGACAGTGCTATGGAAATGTTCCTTTGATGGTGGCTGGAGACTTCAATGTGATTCGGTCCTTGGAGGAGTACTCGGGTTCTTCAGCCCAGGATCAAACTGCTATTGACGAGTTTAATGACTGTACTGCTAATTGTGAGCTTTTGGAGCTTCAATCTGTTGGTGAGGAGTTTACATGGGGAGGTACACGACAGACGGGTTGGGTTGGTAAGAAGCTAGATCGAGTCTTACCATCAAGCAAGTGGGGAAGTCTTTTTCCAATCTCTTCTGTTGAAAATCTCTATAGAGCTACATCAGATCATTTCCCGCTTTGGCATCAATTCTCGCCTCAATTGGAAAGGAAACCAAAACCGTTTCACTTCCAGAATATGTGACTACAACGTTCTGATTTTTTGGAGATAGTTCGAACAAGTTGGGAAAAACCAGTAGCTTCATACGGTATGTTAGCTTTTTCATTGAAGTTGAGAAGATTGAAGGGGGTTTTAAAAGAATGGAACTAGTCTGTATTTGGAGATGTTTTTGAGAATATTAAAAACGAGGAGCTTAATGTTCAAGGCCTTGAAAATGTTTATGATGGGGATCCGTCGGATGGTAATCGGATTAAGCTCAATGAGGTGAAGGCGGTGCTCCTCGCGCGACTCAAGGAACATGATGATTATTGGCATCAGAAAATGCGTCTGAAGTGGTTGAAAGAGGGAGACTCAAACTCCAAGTTTTTTCATGCTTCTCTCGCTAGGAGGCGTTCGCGTATTGGAATTCACAATATTCAATTTGAGGCTGGTGTTTGGCTTCATGATCAGAGTGGCATTGAGGCGATGAAGGTATTCCGGCTGTTG